TAAATATGTGGTCACCTTTTTTTTTCTTGCACATGAACTTTCCTACTTGGTTCGCAGAGTGTTATACCTGAAAAGGTGTAAGTTTTTTAGGTCACAATGGATTGCAACCTCCGACTCAAGCATTTCCTGATCGCCCACAGACGAACTCCGTTTTTATGTGCGAAGCACCTCCCCCATATCCCGGAATTGGACCAGATCGAGAGCCGATGCCGACCGAACAATTGCATCGAGCTGGTACAGCCTCACCACCTCCGTATGCAGCTGACACTGAAGGCTTGAGAAGAAGACATTGAATGATGACAATTTATGTGCTCCAATCGAATATTTACTTCAAAGCAGACGTTCTCTTAAATTTAATTTTTCTTTGTTTACAAACTTCAAAACATAGTCATTCCTCCTGTTCCGGTAACAGCCATGACCTGGTGCATTGTTAAGTAGAGAACAGAAAAGTTTTTCTTTCAAAGTCAAACCTCCAGAAAAATATGCTGAGTCACTTTTTTCTGCTGGAAGTTATCATGAAAACTGTATTTACATTTATAAACGTCAGTCTCAGAAGCTTTCTACTTGATGATGAACCAGTGTCAAATGATGATAATAATGGTGAAACTTAACGGTGATTATCCATGGCAATATTATTTGTATCACATATCATCTAATTCTGTGTTCATTTCTTGCTACTAAGTGGGTGATAAAGAGTTCTTGCCGTATCCTAGAAGTCGTCCTTGGTATTTCCCCAAGATAGCTACTTATTTCAATGTTTTCCTATGCTCCTGTCATATTCGTTTCTGCAAAGGATGGCGTCGAACTTGACTGTCAAAGTGCATCCGGTGGTATACATGACTATCGTTGACTCGTACCTTCGAAGACAACGACCAACAAAAGCAGGACAACCTGCGAATGATAAAGCTCTGGGAACACTGATGGGATTTTACGAAAAGGATGCGGTCCAGGTAGGTCCATGGAACATCTGAATCAAAGTCTTCATTTTGAAAGAGGCTTACATTTGGCTTGAGCTGCTTTTTACGCAAAAAAAGCTTGAAAGTACGAAACATGCATCATGTTTTCAAGGTAACGAACTGCTTTGCCATCCCCTTCAGCGAACTGCGAGATGATTTGGAGCTTGATGACTCTTTCAATCAACAAATGATTCAAATGCTAAAGAGAGCCGCGCCTACTGAACAGCCTGTGGGATGGTGAGCTGCAGCGGTTCCACTATATTCCGGAAGTAGGACATAGTGATGTTTCAGGTTCTACACGTCATCGGATCTGTCATCGAATTGTCTCATCTATCATGATTACTACAACAGAGTCATCAATGAGGTTTATTTATTGTCCATTTTTCTATGAGTGTTTTTTCTTCCAATATATATGCAATTTTATAAAGTTTTGTGCTTTAAAGGCAGTGTCCGGACTAGGTTGGGGGTTTTGGGA